GGATTGTTCTGCCTAATCACATAAACTGTGTGTTGGTGTCAAAAATTGCAAGCATGTGATTGGCCAAGCAGTAATATCACACTCATTTGAAGGTTGCTGTAAAATATCTGACTCTAAAGTAAGGGAGGGACCATAGACATTGCAAGTTGCAACTAATGGCAAAGTAGTAAAATGCTTTGTGCCATGGTTATGGACTTTCTAAAGAAAAGTAGGTCAACAGTTGCAATACAATGATGCTTTTGTCCATTAACAAAACTATGAAGATAAAGTATAAAAAAGTAATTTCAAAATGAGCTATTCACCTTTTTCATTGTTTTATTGACTGTCTAGAACTACATATTAGTATTAGCATATTAGGTAATTTGCAAGATTAGGGTTGAACAACTTAAATATAAGAAAGTTTCACAACTGTGGGTTATGTGGGAATAACCTCTAATATGTTAGATGCGAATCACAAGCTATCCAGAATTCCAAGTAATAAAGAGTGTTTCTAATTCTTAAGTTTATTGTCATATTTCAATCACTCCACTGTTCTTTTGAAGCTTTACAAACAAGACAGGTCTAACTTCTTAACATTATTACTGAGCTTCCCAGTTCCAAGCTTTGCCATCATTTCGTATCACTTGTGCATTTGTATTGTATACAATGCAAGAAAATTGCAAAAGAATTTCAAAACCTTGTGCTAATTTCACTTACCACTGACGAATGGACTTATAATGACTCTCTATGATATTGGTTAAATTGAGCTCTTGAACAAACCATCTGTAACTCCCACAAAAGCATGACTATTGAAATAATCTGGCTTATGTTTTGTTATTACAATAAAAAATTATACCAGTCCTGTAGGTAGAGAAGTTGGGCCTATCACATGACAGTCTGAAACCACTACCACAACAGAGCTGGACACTTCTTTAAATTAGTTTTATTAACACATACCTTAAAAATATATATATATATTTTTTTTTTTTTAACCTGTGCTGCCACATTCAATGATGAGAAAAATGAAGTATCTCATTACCATGATCTGATGCAGCAGGTGCCTTTGACAGATCCATTGGAGTGGTGGAGAGTAAAAGAAACTGAATTTCCAAGGCTCACAGAACTTGCAAGAATAGTGCTTGCTGTGTCTGTGACCAGCAAACCACCCGAAAGATTATTTTTCTACCTGTTAAATTACTGTTGAAAAAGAGATTGCAAATGGAATTGCAACTTGTGGATAAACTGCTTTTTCTTTGCAAAAATAATAAATGTAACCCAAATTCTAAGAAAATGGAGAGGGTGGATTGTGATTTGGAAAGTGAGTAAGATTAGACAATGGTAAAGTATTTTGAAGGACCTTTCTTTAACTGATCCTATATGTAATTGTTGAGGACAAGTTGACAATCAGCTGAACTTGTGTTGTTTCTGTTTTAAGTTGATTACTTCTTTTCTGGTGAAAGTGGCATCTGTGAATACTGAAACCTGATGATTCCATCTTTTCATGATATAGCCTAATTTATGCCTTGTTGTTTTGCATTTATGTCTAACCACATTCCAAAAACTTGGGAAGTTTCCTACTGCACATACACATGTACATATTAAGATGTTTTCTTTGATGTTTTGGATTTTTGATGTTCAATTACTAGTTACCATTGTTTTTTAAGTAATTTCATTAAATCTGTTACGAGAAAAATTATCAGGTTATTTATATCTTTTATGGCTCCAAACCACAAGGAATATGTGGATCACTTGGATTGAGACCAGACACTAGTAGTTACTAGTCATGTAGTAGCCCTAAAGGCTGTAGCTTACCTAGATGTAGGTTAAATGGTTTTTCTCAGCAGATGCTCAGCCCAAGGCTCTTTAGACAGTAGACACATTTTATCCAATTTAAAACATTTTTGCAATGACTCTATTAACTTTTATTGTCCAAAATTTCACTGCACTGGGTGCATCACAAAGTTAAAGTATATTGCATATTATCCTTCAGCTCATTCTCCATACAATATGGCCACATACATAGTACATAGCCTGCTATGATATTATGGAAATAAACAAATGAAAATACAGAGAATGTTGACCTGGAAACTGCGTGTACTGTGTAGTATGTACTATGTTTTACATCACTGTTTTAATTTCAACAGCGTCATGTTGCAACAAGATTCTTCAGTATGGCGGGGGCTACTTCAGTTTTCACATGAACATCGATTTGTGAAAACAAACTGAATGAAGCATGTGTTTTCCTTCACTGCTCATTGCTCATGAATGAAAACCTGATAATTCACTGCAAATCTTTGAGATGTGAGAACAAAATAACGACAGTCACAGAATGAAAAGTCTTCTGCTATTTATTTATCCAGGCACGTAAAAAGCATAGGCCAGGCCTATAGTACCTGTATTTTGAATGTGTATTAAGCCACAGACATAGTTTGTGGTAACTAACATAAGCAGTAAGCATATTTACCCATGCCTTACAAGTTGCAACTATTCTGAAAGCCTCAAACCCTTGCTTGTGTCTAGGATGAAAAAATTAAAAAAGGCACATAAAATACATTTCACTCGGAAGTGAAACTGAACAAACATGAAAATGAGTGTGACAGAGAGCTCCTGGTTTAACTAACCTACCATGAGCTAGGCTAGGCATAGGCCTATACTATAAATATGAATGCATCACTTCAGTTTCATGATTTTTCATATAACTTTTTCCTTTAGTTTGTAATGTTTTTATGTAATGCTTTTTGTAATGTTTTTATACTGTCATTTAATCTCATTCCCCATTTAGCCTTCCAAATTCTACTAAATTTACAAAACAACAAATATAGGCAAGCCAACCCTGGACTAACATGTCTTTCAGTTTCCATTGACTTTTAACTGTAAGTAAACTGATGGGCACCCGACAGGTATTAACCCTTAGGTACTTGGCTCGGAAATTTCTACCCGGTGTAAACAATAAATTTAATATTGCATAAGCTTAGGAACTTGAGCTTGTAAGCTTAAAGTACATGCAACTTGACCAGTTTGTTTACTTTATCTTTAGGGGGAATAGATACAGGCTCTCACTGTAACTTTTCGGTTTTTGTAGAGAAATAAAGAACTTCTCAGGAACAGAGTGTGGCAATGAGACTTAGATGTGAAAGGCTAATAGTCGAAATTGTGAAGATAATTAAATTGAAGATCTGATGACAAGTGATGCATTCAAAGAAGAATAAATGGATATCATTCATTTCATTTCATATTTATCAACTTTTTGTTCTGTACATAGATGATTTTGTTACAGTTAGTGTTATGGTAGAGAAAGTAACAGATAAGATATAAATATGAATGTTTTAGAGGTTATGCAAATGAAATATGAAAACCTTAAGATTAAAACAAGTATTTTTATTCTTATCTTAAAAATCACCTTGTACTCAGACTGACCTAGAATAGGCTTCATAAATTCACACAAATCTTTTTGTTTTTACAACAGATCTGTAATGTTTACTAAAAACTTAAGTTTTGTTAAGATACTTGATGAATTCAGAGTTATAGTGTGTATAGTTTTACACGTTTAAGATGAATCAAATTGGCACAGTTTGAACTTAGTGTTAAGTGAAACATTTAAACAAAGCTAGCTTGTTTATAATTTTGGTGTGGTAAAAATAATGTTCATTGCAAGTCAGTGATTGGAAACACAATGAAACTGGATGTGGTGTTTTTAGATCAAAACAGACAAATTTACAGTTTCTCGAAATAAACACTATCAGAAAGCATTACAAGAATCTAGAAAGACACAAAATTCAGTAATTGAAATCTATGAGAAAGGTAAGAATTTTTGGTTGTTAAAAAAATATTTCAAAAATAAATCTATTTGTATTTCAAGTTAATGTATGCAGGCATTTAAGGGGTATTAAATCCAGAAGTGTGTTTCGTTTGTTGTAATGTGTTTATGTGTCTAATTTTGTATGATTAGTAGATCAGCAATACATTTGAAGGCTTATAATGCTAAAAACTGAGTTTTGATACCTATGGTGGGCACATCACAGACAGCCCTTTGTGTAGCATTGTGCTTAACAACAAACAACCAAACAAAATTATTTAAAAGCTGAAATATGTAATAGTTCAGTAATCTTCACTTTTATTACCCATTTATTAATCTGAGAAGGAGAAAACTACAATATATTTATTTTTAGTTTTTATCAAAAAATTTAACTCATTTATTCAGTAATTTGTTACATATCTATAATACATACACAACAAATTATTTTGTATCACAGAAAATTAAAAGCACAGCGTCCTTGTTAACGTTTTGTTGATGTATATAATTCATATTTGTTTTCTGTTATGTATGTATTTTATCATCTTAAAATATTCAGTATTGTTTTAATGTTTTTGTAGTTCAGCTAATAGTAGATTATCCTCGTTTTTTCAAATTAAAAGAAATGCTATATTTTGCTTGACTATTAGTATTTTATCTTAAATGAGTTCAGATCACTTTACTACTTTGTGTCCGTATTAAATGCTTAACAGTATTAGGAACTGGTGTAAAAAGGCCTAACACATTGATTCACTTGTTGTTACTTTCAATCTGAAATGAGTTGTCAAGTTTTAACCTGCCCTGCATGATAATTTTTGTTTTATAAATATGTGTGGCGCCTGAATCACATTTCTGAAATTAGAAGTTTCCTTGACTTTTGTTTTTTATATGTACAGACTACAATGATGAAATTGAACTGTGTGTAACATGAAAATATTATTTTATAACTTGTAGCTATATGGAGTTTAACATGATTGTAGTAAAAATGGATTCAGAATGGTGCAAAAATTTTAAGTGTCAGTTTTCAATTATTATTCATCATAGATATCATTTAATAACAAAAAATATGATTTCTGTAGGTTACTAGATACTTGTTTGTTAGATACCTTTATTTCAGGCAAAAATCTTATATTAAGTTTGCATAATAAATGTTTTGTCATAATAAATTTAATACAGTTAGGATGTATTTGTCTTCAGATATAGTTTAAATTCCTTATCTTTTTCACAGATGAATATTCCAACACCTCTGCCATTTCTAATAGTACAACACCCAGTGGACAAACTACCTCAGTTACCGACACCACAATCAGTGAAAAACTTGACCCTTT